TGTTTTGATTTCATTTATGTGTTTCTTTGCATTGCATGTGCATTGGTGCGCCTAGGAACACAGTGTTTTCCATCTGCCATTCCTGAACGGTTTGCCGGCGGCTTGTCTTGTCAAGGCATGTCCATAAGGCTGACTGGCTATGGGCTCTGACAGTATGGGAACACAAACCCCGGTTTTACCGGGGCACCCTTTTTGACCATTCGACCTAGTGCATATTCGGGTCCATAGTGACCATTCCAAACTAGGACAGGTTGCTTACCCGTTTATAGGTTGTTTGAAACCGCTGTGTGCGTAGTGAAACCCTAGCTCCTGACAAAATAGGACAGGGAAACCCTACCCCAATATAGGAGTGTTTTGGCTCTCTTTACTTGCTATGTGCTTTCAAAATGTAATTCTGCAGGGAAATGAACACATCAGTTTGTAAGTTTGGGCATCAGGACTGAGGGCATCAGTATCAGTTTTAAGAGAATCAGTTATCTGTGGGTATCAGGGTTCAGTATTGGGAATAGAGATTTTGAGAACAGTGATCGGTATCGGGGAACCGTGTGCTCGGCTTATCGACCATGTGTTTTGAAAATCCAACTGTATATTATTTGTTTATTTTATGCTGTTGTGCTATCCGGTTGTTGGTTTATTTATTGCTTTATTTATCTTTTTGCTAGGTAGTTTAGCATCATTGCGTCCAACCCAGTAGACATTCCCCAAGCACTCTGGATCAGAGGTCGCCGGCTCCATCGATCTGAGGATCTGATAGAAGGACAACCAGTGTACCATTCTCTACCCCCGGTTACTAAACGGAAAGCAACTAGGCAGATCAACAGGTCCTTCAAATTCTCCGGTATAGGTCTAGAGAAATTTCTGCTATAGGTCTAGTGAAATTTCTCTAGTATAGGTCTAGATAAATTATCTAGTATAAGTCCAGAGAAATTTCTGGCATAGGTCTAGAGAAATTTCAGCAGGTCCTCCAAATTCTCTAGTATAGGTCCAGAGAAATTTTAGCTGGTCCTCCAAATTCTCTGGTATAGGTCCAGAGAAAATTACCTAGTATAGGTCTAGTGAAATTTCTATGGTATAGATTTAGAGAAATTTCAGCAAGTCCTTCAAATTCCTCAAGATCTATGAGTTTATTGTTGTCTATGATCACCCACTATTTATTCTTCAACAAATTTATCAAGGACCCATCCTCATGGTAATGGATAAGGTCAACGGTGCAGACGTGAAAGCAAAGGCAGCGGAGGGGGTTTGAAACTTGGCGTCGAAGACATAGACAAGGCCAGTGGTGATGAAACGATCGTCGGAATGGAATGAGTTGGAGGTGGCGGTGTCGAAGAATAAAGAGATGGTGGATTTGGGTGCTAAGGTATGGGAATAGAAGATTGTGAGGTGGTGGAGAGATCCAAATCTATAAAGAAAGAAAATAGAGAAGATAAATGAAAAGATGATGCCGGAGTAGGAGTCAACGGTAGTAATGAAGCGGCCATCGAAGTGAAAGGAGGCGGAGGTGGCGGTGGTGGTGTGAGAGAGTGAGGAGATGTTGGATTTGGGTTTTAGAGTTTGGGAAGAGAGAGATCAAGGAGATGGATGAGAGAGAGAAGAGAGACCCAAATATGTAGAGAGAGAAGAGGGGAGAATGAGGGTAAAGTTGGTATTTTTTTTTGAATAAAATATAAGTAAAGGATGTGAGAGACCTTATCTAACATAAAAAAAAAATTTGTGGACCTCTTCTACTACCCAAAATTAGAGAGAGATGTTAGACTAATTTTCTCTAAAAAAATTCACTAAAAACAAAAAATAAAATACTCAATTTTTAGAAAATCAATAAAAAAAAAAAATTAGAAAAGCCTTAATTTTTTGAAACCCTGAGCCCAATTTTTTCCCTAAAATTTACGCAGACTTGTCCACATGAGCATATATTAAACAAAAATCAGTGCATCATTGTTTTTAGATGTGGTTCATGTTTTGTTTTGATACAACTATTGATATTTGTTTTGTTTTGTAGTAAGGTTGTAGCAATAGTTGAGATAGTTTTCATTGTCTACTGGGAAAAACAACCAGGCCAAATCAATGAATTAGGTGGGAATAATGAAAACCGAAACCTTCCATCAGGTGGGAATGAAGTAGCATTTGGATTGAACTGATTTCGCCCCTAAATTCTCTTTTAATATTTAATTTGCTATTTTTGGTTAATTATTTTTGTTTAGAATGGGACTTTTCTATTCTTTTTCTCATTTTTTTTCCAAGCCGAAGCACTTGTGACTCATAATTATAAAAATGTCATTGCCACATTATTCTAGATGGGCTTTAGAAAAATGATTTTTCCCCCGATTTTGAGCCCCCTCGAACAGCCCGAACGGAGAAAGAGAGAAAGAGAAGAGGGAAGAGAGAGAGGGCCCCTCCTCCGCCTCCGTCGCCACCGATCGATCGCAGATCGACCGGCCGATTGTCGCAGCAGTTCGTCGCCGTCGCAGCCCCGCCGTCGCCTTCACCTCTGCCTCGTAGCCCCCATCTCTGCTTCGCAGCCCCCGTCTCTACCTCTGCCTCCGCCCCTTGCCTCTGCCGCCCTCGCCCCGCCTCCGCCTCCGCCTCCGCCTCTAGCCCGATTTTGTTGGCCCCTCCAGTTCTTCTTCTTCTTCTTCTTTTTCTTTCTCCTTCTCTTCTGCTTCTTCTTCCTTCTCTTCTTCTGATTTTCTTCTTCTAAAAAAAAAAAAAAATCAGAATGACGAAAACGACGTCGTTTTTTAATTCGGGGGATTCGAGCGCCTTGATTTCGAGCTACCAATCACTTCTGATGGGCTTTACTTATAAAAACTTTATTTTACAAATCATTTTCCTTTTAAAATTATCTTGTTCACAAATTAGATAATAAAAATAAAAATAAAAAGTGACGGATAAGTTTTCTTTAGCAGTTGCAATTTACCATGTACGGAAGTAGATGAACAACAGTCTTTAATTAGAAGAGGAAAAGAAATTAAATCAGCTTGTTTGATTTAGTTGTTAAGGATTCACTTTTCAAAAAATTAAAATTTTTTGTTTTTATATTTTTTTATTTTTACTGAATTTTTTTTAATATTTTAAATAATATTTTAAATTTTTAGATACATCAAACATAAAGACACTTAAAAAGTATAATATTTGTAAAAGAAATCTGTAAAAATTCACTAAATATAAAAAATATAAAAAAATACGAAAATTCAGTACATTTTTATATTCTTGTATATTTATTGATATTTTAAACTATTTTTTATAAATATTTTACTTTTTAAATACATCTAAGTGAAAATTACTTAAAATTTTAAAAATATTCACTAAAAAAGAAAAAACTCAATTTTCAGAAAATTGAATCCAAAAAATTAAAACCCAACACAGTAAATAATTCTTAATCTAATTGAAAAAGTTAGATTTGGAATCATCTCTTGGGGACAAATATTATTCTTAAAGATAAAGAAGATGATAACCACCTATGAATCAGTTTTGTATTGTGTTTGAGATCAATACTTGTACGAGACCACCTTCTGATGTTATTTGACTAGCCTGCATTGTACTGGGAAAAGTGTTGGTTATGGCTTGCCAGTCTCTGATCTTTTAATGTTGTATAGCTCGATTTTGGTATCCTCTCCCCCGTGCCTTCTCAAAAGTCAAAAGACGCACAAAGACAACTAATGAGGCTTTAAGACTCTGATGATTTTCTTAACCTTTAAAGAAGAAATTTTATTATTTACTTCCTTATGAACTAAAAACACATATTAATGTATACTAATTGGGCGTTGTTTACTTCTTTATGAACTCTGTTGAAGGTGAGAATTTGGTGGTTGTGAGGCCTAGGCCATTGTAGTCAGCTATATAACACCCTTCTCTTCATTTGTAAATGATTAAATAAGCAGTTAGTAGTTTTGATTTCTTTTTCTTTCCTTCCTGTTTAATAAGACAGATAAAGTGTGAGGTGATTTTTCCTTTCCCTCACTTTCTTTTCTTTCTTTGATACATATTCCTTCCTCTCAGTTTTCTGCCACTCCTCCCAAAGGAAGAATTAAATGTAAGTTGCTAAAGTATAAGAGGAAGGGAGGCCAAAATGAACATCAGCTGGGCCATGAGAAAGAAATAGTTGCCAAGGATTTATGAGAGGATATGCCTCTAGATGGAGCTGAATGAAGGCTAAAGATGAAACCTACCTTAAATGGCCAGGATGCAGGCTTTGTTGGGTTGAGTTCTATTATTATATATATTTTTTTATATACAATTCACAACTTTTGTGCTTCTTTTTCTATTTTGAGTTTGGTCAGTGAGCAGTAGATATTGATGAATTTAGTGCAAGGTTCAAGTTATTTTAAGTTCTTGTTCAATAAAGCTAATAGATGCTTTATCTGTGGTTTTTTGATGTTGTGAGATTTATCTTTCTCCCATATATTTATTCTACTTTCATCTTATTTGATAAGTTCTTATTATCATTTTTTAAAAATATGTTTAATTACCGTCTTTTATTATATCTTCATATCTTTGTTTATGTTTTTCTATATTTTAACAACGCGTTGATATTTCTTGATTGATGTGTAATTTCAGATTTTTTGGGTAACTTTACATTATGTCTTTGAGATTCATTACACATTTCATCACTTCTCATTTATGAAGATTCCCTCTGGGACTTTGGTTTGCTATCTTATACTTATTTTTCGTTCTGGAGATATTCTAATTTTTTTTTTATATTATAGAATTTAGTTGTTGATCATGCCGTTATGTGACCATTGGTTCAATGGTTAAAACTAGTAACCTTGAGGTTATGAGTTTAAGTCTTGGGGCCATCACTTTGTGCTTTATGCCAAAGGTTAGGCGTGTCTCCCAAATACATATTAATGTGTACTGATTGGGCGTTGTTTTTTATCATGCTATTATGTGTTATTTTTTCGCAAACATAATGTTTTTGAAATGATGCAATAAAGAAATGCTTTATGCTTGACTTGCCTTTTTTTTATTTATTTATTTTTCCCTTCTTCATCAGCTTGCAAAGAAAGTAGAAAAGTTTATAGACCTTCCCTATGTTGTCAAAGGAATGGATGTTTCGTTTAGTGGAATACTGAGTTATCTTGAAGCTACTGCTGAGGAAAAGAAAAAAAAAAATAATGAATGCACCCCTGCAGATTTGTGCTATTCCCTTCAGGTAATCATTTGAAATGCTTCCGATATTTAATAAAAATACATATTTGTGGTAAGAAAAAGTTATGTAGTTGGTAAACCCCAAGGGGTTGGCCTAGTGGCAAGGCCTTGGTCCTTGGGACTGTGCTCCCTCCAAGGTTCAGGGATAGAATACAGAACGGGCAATGGCACACACTGACGAGAAAGATGTTCTCATTGTTGGTGGTGCGGGCTGCAGTGAGTGCTTGCAAGAGATGATAAGAATCATGTGCGCTCCGAGAGGGGTGGTAGCTTGTTTGCAACTGATGACATGTACTGTGTTGACAATGGGGCAATGATTGTGTATACTGGTCTCTTAGCTTATGCTAATGGGATGTCAACTCCACTGGAGGAATCAACATTCACACAGCGGTTCAGAACTGATGAAGTACTGGCAATCTGGAGAGAGAGAGAGAAAAAGGAATCTTCAAATGGTCTCATGGAAAAAAGTGTCTAATTACCTACATGTTTCAAGGTATGTGTTTTCTATTCTTTTCCCATCTTTTTTTGGCAAGATCATGGATTAGTTGCTTCCTAATTTTATAGAAGTTATGGGGCCCTTCAGCAAATGATAAAACTATCAAGCTGTGGACAATCCATGGCCAATTTAATATTTTAAGGCAATTTGGTTTCTCTACCTATCTGCATGGAAGTTCCTGTGTAGCGAAAATCAATTGTGGATTGGAAATATTTAGTTATTTTTACTTTGTGGAGACAGCTTTGTATTTATATGCTTTAAACTAGATATGGAGGCTTGAATCCAACTGGGCAAGCTTCTACCCATTGGAGAGCTTCTATTTCCACACATTACTTTTTCTCAGTGGATACACTATTTTGATTCGAATATTAACTTCTGAGCAAAATACATGGTTTAGAACCATGTATTTTTGTTCAGAAATTGATTTTCGGAAGAAAATTGATGTGTGAATTGAAAGAGAGTGCTATGTGAAAATAGAAGCTCCTAAAATCAGCTTCTTGCATTGTTTATCAGATTGTAAGCAGACAGTGCCTTGTAGAAGCATGAATTTTGGGAACTAGGCAGGAGCAGGGTTGGGATTTCACGTTCTGAAGTGCTTGGGTTTTCATGTTAGGAGGTTTGGGAGTTAAGCGAGGGTTTCAAGCCATTTATGTAGTTATATACAACAGTGTTTTTTTTAAAAGAAATGTGTTTCTATGCATCAATATTCAGTACTCATTGAAAGGTTTTTTCATATATAGTAGTAGTTATACAAGCATCCATTCTTCCTCAACTTGGAATTATGCAAGTAGGTCCAATTTTAATTTTCTTGTTATTTAGCTGTTCTCTTTCCATGCTCTATTTTTCTACTGTTCTTGTCCTATTTGTTTCCTATTTTAAATTTAAACCATGAACTTATGAGTAATGAGTCAAGAGGTCACAACTGCTTGGTTGGGCAAGATGGCCAGGTAAGTCTTTCCCATCTTGTGTCTTAGCCCTGAACTAGGTTCTCTAGTGACGATGGGACTAGGTATTGCGTGGAGTCATTTCGTGGATATGGTTTCTTAGTTCTTTAAATCAAGTGGCGACTCTTCATTTCAAATAATCATAGTATGTATTATTATGTGACCTTGTGGGATATCAGTTTAGGCATTTCCCAATGGGTTTCGGAATAAAAGGAAATTCATTGGCACGCGGCTTTGGATATTTTGGTCATGTAATGCAAATTAGTTGTTTAATAGGCTTTTGTAGGCTCAAGAGGTTTGGAGTGTGTGAGCCTTACCGATAATCCTATTCTCTTGACCCTATATACCAAAAAATTTGGCTTGCTTACATTAACAAATGGTCTAGAGTAATTACTGATTTTAATGACAACTGAGTTTGAGAATATGGATGCAAGAATTTGTAATTCTAGTTTGGGTTTTCAGTTTGTTTGGTTGTTCATCTTTTATATTTATTTATTGCTAATATATTTACATCATTATTTTGGCTAAAAAGATTTATTCTATTCTCAGGGCAAGCAAATATAGGGTGATTATTGGCAACAAAGGAGGGAGTAATTTGCCAGGTAGCAAAGCAATATGTGGCAAACCCTACAGGTGCCACATCACCAAAACCTCACCCACGTGGCAGACCAATAAGGCGCCACGCCGGGCATATCGTATGTTTGATACATGGCGAGCCCTATGGGCGCCATGTGCCAAGGCAACCAAAACTATATGCTTAGCCTAAGCGGGAGCATATATACAAGCCCAAATATATCTAGATATGAAGAGTCCTGCAACAGGCTGCACCATGGCCCCACAGGGTCCATGGTCCTTCATACCTCGCTCCAAGACCAAACAACAATACAATCAGCCCCTAGTTCACTTGGACTTGGATTGATAAACACTGGCTCTCCTAAACATTGAAATAAGCCCGCGGCCCATGCTTCTACTTGGTCGCTTAGAAGCGAGCCCCTCTCCTAAACATTGAGATAAGCCCGCGGCCCATCGGCCTACTTGGTCGTCTGGAAGCGAGCCCTTGGCTCTCTTAAACACTAAGGTGGGCCTTAGCCTATTCACCTACTTGGATGCCTGGGTTGGGAGCTGGACCCAGGCACTACTGCTCGGGATCATCAGAGGATACTAGACTGGCGACTGAGGTCATGGGATCATTGAGATGGTTGTCTTCTTGCTAAGACAACTCCATCTCGACCAGGCTTGGAGAAGAGGCAACAATGACCTTACGTTCATATCATTCGATGCATATACGAAACATTACTTTTCGCCTGCCATGAAATGTTGCTCTCCGCCTGCCGACAAGCCACAGACGGTAGAAGGGCATATATCACTTCTGGCAGAGTTGAAGAGAACGAGCCACCTGTCCAACAGTTTGCTTGGGCTCCAATACTCCTGTGGCCTATATAACGTATCGTATATGCAGCGAGACACAATAACAACAATACAACCAGGACTCATGCTTAAACACTATCTCTTGCTTTACATTAGTGTTAAAAGTCTATCACTGCCAACCTCTTCCTCTCCAAGCTTTCCTTGATCTCCTCCTCTCCACCTCCGGTGATCTCAGGCCATTGAAGTGCCCGCCATCTTCCTGGACTACCTCTAACCACACCTCTCACCCACATTATACTTTGCTGGGGAAGAGTGGTGCTCGCTTCACATGGCACCCAAAAAGAACACTAGAACTGGAATAGCGACATCCCAAGGTGGCGGTAGGGAGACCCTGGCGGAGACCTCGGAACACAACTCCGGCGACTCTCCAGAAGAACAATCCTCCCAACCAGTCATAGCGGATCAACTACGTCCGTTGACTGAGAGCGTCACCTCTCTTTAACAGAACCAACAACTCTTAATGGATGCCCTACTAGCCTTACAAAGGGCACCTACACTTCCATCATCGTCTAACCCTCTTTCAACATCACAAAATGGCACTCCGCCATTAGCCTAGAATGGCTCGAAAGCTAACCTCGCTACGCAAAACAACTTGCGAACCCAGGCGGGAGGACAAACAGTCGCCCCGCTCCCTCTGTTAGCTCCCAGCCAAATACCCCCATCGCAAGTTGGATCCATTAGCGGAGCTCCCACCACAATGACTTCGACTAGCTCTCTAGCTCTCCCGGTGGATTGGAACCCTTCCCAGCCATTAACATTGGAAGTAGTGAAAGAGCACATACATAGTCTACTTCAGACAAACAAAGGTCACATCCCTGCCTTCCCAGAATTGGACCTCCGTCCCCCTTACCCTATTCACATCGCAAGTCTTCCATATCCGGCGGGATATACAGTACCCAAGTTTGTTCACTTCGACGGATGAAAAGGGAACGCTAGGGAGCATGTCTCACGCTTTCTTGATGCCCTTGGAGCTCACTGACAGGACCGAAACCTTCGCATGAAGGAATTCTCCAAATCGCTCACAGATCGAGCATTCTCGTGGTATGCTAACCTCGCTGCTGGCTCTATTTCTTCATGGGAAGACTTGGTAAAAAAGTTTTACATCAAGTTCTTTTACGATGAAGAAAGGTTAACTACCCTTCATCTTATGAGGGAAACACAGCGACTTGGGGAGGAAATCCTCGTTTACGTCCGCCGTTTCAGGGAAAAAGCAGTAGACATTCAAGACCCGATGGAAGAACACTAACTGGTGTCATTGTGCATTGAAGGAATGCTCACGACTTATAAACTCCAGTTGGTCAACCACCACTTCCCTGACTTTTTCGCTTTATGTGCTGCGGCCTGAAATATAAGTGAAACAGTAAGATCAGGGGCACGAATGACAGCACCACAACCCCACTCATAGCGACCAATGACACCTCAACCTTCCTCATCGAGGCCTAACCGACGCAACCACGTTGTATATGCAGCCAAAGGCTCCTTTGGGGGAAGAGAAGACCCACAGGCAAAAAAAAGAAAGTTCGATCAAATTCCCCCACCATTACCTATCTCAGTGAACAAGGCACAGGCACTCCTCAATGCCTGGGGAGAAGATGGAAAAGTTCACCTCCCCGAGCCAAGGCAACTTGTTACCAAAAAGGATCAAGCGCGGGCAGACTACTGCATATACCATCGTTCCATTAAACATCCTACTATGGAATGTTGGGCACTTAGATCCCTAGTTCAAAAAATGATGTCTGACGACGCTTTGGAGCTACCTCGCCAAACAGAAGATGTCTTGAAAGATCCTTTCCCGCGCCATAAGGATAATGGCAAGACAGTCATGATGCTTTCGCATTATGACGAGATGGAAGAGCCAATGGTGTGCGAGCTCTCTAAACTCCCAGCTCCCATTTGTCCAGACTTTGAGACCAAGCGTGTGATAGCGCTTAAGAAATCGACAAAGTTCAAGTGGGTCTTCGACCAATTCGGCCTGTCTGAAGCAACACGCTTTGAAGCCACCAAGGCCTTTTTAAGACTTGCGGAGCAGAATGGTGAAATGTGCATGAGCGTAAGCGAATCAGTAAGGAAAGTATTTCGGGATAACTCCTTGGCGATAACCTTTACCGAGGCTGACAAACAAGTACCGTTTCCACA